GTGGCGAGAGGGGCCGGTGGAGGTGGTTCTCTGCTGGACTATCCCGCCCTCAGGGCGTAGCCTCAGGGTGGGGGCCGGGCCCTGTTCCGGGTTGCTGGGCTTGAACACGGGAGCGATGTCTGCGGGGGCGGCGGCGTGTGGGGTCCTGGGGGTACAGTTACTGTGTCACAAGCAGATCGCAAGGTGGTAGCGGCCGGGCCGGCTTTAAGTAAGCATCTTCTGAGCGGTGTGAGGCATCCAGAGTTGGCTGCTGGCTGCCAGCGCCTTCTCAGCACGCGTTTATCTCACACACACCCCAAAATACCACAAAACGGTATTTGTCTTCGCTGTAGGGCACGTTTGGCTGTGCTAAGATTCCTCCAGAGTGCAAGCAGATGAGAAAGTGTTACCGTTCACGTGTTGGGAGTACAAACAGCAAGGGCCGCACCAGCTTTCCAAAGTCTTTTTCGAAGGGTTGCTCTGGTCCAAAGGCAGCTTTCAGTTCCAGTGGGGAAATGTGAAACTTTGACAGTGTGCCTGCAACGGAGCATTTTTTTTTTGCTGCAGCTGAAATTTACGGCCTGTCCGAGCTTTTGTGTTCTCTGGTGGGATTCAGGTTTCTCTCTGCACAACTGATCACCTAAGTGAAGTTATGCAGACGCTGGCAGAAGTGTGCTGCTCATTCTTTAGATACACCAATAAACATAAACCTTGACCGAACGTGGGGTTTTAATCAAGGGTTGTTAGTAGGACTGACTGATGCACGTATTTTTTTTTAATCTGAGTGTATGCCAGCACGCAGATTAAGTGAGGCCTGATGTAATTTTTAATGCTGTGATGTGACAGGCACGCATTCCTGAAGAATGCAGGAAACATTGAAACAATTTGGCCTCAAAATAAAAACAAACAAAACTAAGAACCCAACACTATTTTTTTCTAAGCCTTGAGGTATTTTTGTGAAAAGTTGATATTACTTTTATTGATAATAATGTGTTTCAGTAAAGGAAAATTTATTAGCTCCTTCCAACATCTGAACTTTAGTCCTTTATGATAATATTCCCAAAGTAGCGATGTAAGTGGCATCTGCATCACTAGTTTGGTGTTTGTAGGGATGTCCTCAGCTGTTGGAGAGCAGACAGAGCCATCTTGGTAATGTATTATGTTCACCTTTGGAAGGAGCACTGTACTTGATGAATCTGTTTGATGTTTTTCCATAGCTCACTTATCTCCTATTGCTGTCTGGGTACTTATACTGCTGCAGTATTCTGCCATAGAAATGTGATTTAATCACTGAAATATTATTTGTGCCACTTCATTTCTACAAGGCCAGATAATTACTTACAGAAACTGTCAAGCAATTCGTACTGTAAAGGTGACCTTTTTCTCTTGTCCATAATAAAGGTTATGGATGTGAGAATTGCAATTACTTCTTAGATGATGTGGAGAAGCTTTATTCTGTGGAGTCTCTTCAGAAAGCGGTAGCGCTGTAGTTGAAATGATGATTTCTCTATTACGAGATTACTAATGTTTATGCTAATATCCTACTAACACAGCTTTGGAGAGCCACCTTTCCCAGCATGCAAGTGCCTAGCTGACAAAGAATACATAATTTATTGTGCCACCTGTCTGTTGGAGATTTATCAGACCACCTGAGAAGTAATTGATATTTATGATGATTCTGTGATTTTCGCAAGGTACCAAATTAGAGTTCATCCAGCGTGCAAGCTTGCCTCATTAATTTATCTAAGATTTCTCATGTAAGAAGAAGGTAAAACTTTCAGACCATTACATTTGTTTTTTGCAGCATTGTTTTCTGTATGTAATGATGAAGGCACTTTGTCATACAGTCTCTTCCATATATATTGTCAATTAGTCTCAGTTCTCCAGTGTTGCAGCCCAACTTTCGCCATTACACTGCAGATGTATTTACAATTTTTATAGAATTACAATATCATTTTTGTTAAAAGAATAAATGAAAAGGTCTTAACTCTTTTATTTTATATGTTTATGAGGTTTAATGTCATCTGTGTGTAAATTATATTTCCCTTCTCTTTCCTTTTCAGTCTTGCCCCATGGGTACCAGTTGTGGGCCTGGAAATTCATGCACAGATCAGTTCCAACTCAAAACTGTTCTCTGGTTCCCAAGTCCAGTTTTCAGCACCTCCTAACTCTTTGGTATCTTTCTTTGATGCTTCTTTACCAGGAACTCTACCAGTAAGTTATGCTTCCACTTAATTTATATCAAGATTCATGTCAGACAACTTTGAGTATGTTTCTAATATTTTGTTCTTCCCAAGATTTAACTGTAGAACTACTTTTACATATTTTTCTGTTTTCTGGTTGTTTGATAACATGAGATGCTTAGTACTGTTTCTTTTCAGTGTAATCACTCCCTAGTTATCGCCACAGATACTTCATATCCTCTGCAAAGAAAAAAGAAATGAGTGTCTCTTCAGCATATTGAATGAATCACAATATTTCTCTGAGGTGTATTTGGTTAGTGTGCCACACAGGAAATTCCTTAAATATGAGAGATACTTGAAATCTTGTGAGAGAAGAGCATCTTAGATTTCTGAGTGGCCATTTGATATTACTTTGCCATATGTTTGTTTACGTAGCTGTCATTTGCCACTTGGAATGCCTCACTATGGAGGTGCTTTGCTTCCTAAGTAGAAAGTCTTTGATTTAGGAAAACGTCAACCATTCCTATTTCCAGAGCAAAGCAATTCTTTATTCTTTTTAAAAAAGGTAGTCTGTATGAGGTGGTGTGGGCTAATACCAGAACAGGTAGCTAGCAATTAGCCATGAGATTTATTAGTAACAACATAGTAACTTTTTGAAGTCATAACTTTGTGATGGCTATGACAGTATTGCTGTAGAATTCTCTGGCAATCTAACAAGTTTAATATAAAAATAATAGTTACAAAAGTATAACATAAGCTTTCAATACAGTGAAAATAAATATTGAATAGACTTAGCTTTGCCTCAGAATCACAGAATCACAGAATCTCAGGAGTTGGAAGGGACCTTGAAAGATCATCCAGTCCAACCCCCCTGCCATTGCAAAGACTGAAATGGGGTCAAAGTATTTAATGCAAAGGTGTTTCATTAAGTATATTTATTAGAGTAGAGGTTTGAATTTCAGTTGCAGATATTTTTTGTAATCTATTGGAAGCTTTTCATCACCATAATACATTCTTAAATAATATTCTGAAATTGAGAACTTAACGGCTGGATTTCTAGGGTCTTGATATATGCCGTGTGATCCCTAAAAAGTGAAATGAGTTGATATATTCATTCTGTATTTGCAAAGGTGTTGAAACCTAAGGAAGTTTAGATGCTGATAAAATTTGAGCTTCACTCTGGTCTCAGTGGCAAGTCAGGGCTGAGTTTCAGATCTAACTATATGGAAATGTGGAAAACTTTCCAGAGAGAATGGGAATCTTATACAGTCATTTGGTTTTAGAAGAATCTAGTTATACTTAAACATGGAAAATTAGTTCTTTTCATTTGATGGCAGGACTAGGTTAAGGACTTAATAGTCACAAAATTTATAAGGGTTCAATATTTTGGTTTTAGGCTTACTTAACATTCTGTTAACGCACAGAAATCTGCATATATTGTCTAACGCTTTTTTTCAGTAAAGTAGCAAAACTGTTCCTGAATGAACAAAAATAAGTATTTATGAAAAGTTTCATTGTTATATATGTTACTATTTAATGGTGGGGGAGGATGTTGGCTTTTTCCTCTGTTAAAGTGCTTTACAAATGAGGCTTGGTATGACATTTGTGAGAAAACCCCAGTACATGTGGGCTTTGGCAGAGAACAGAACTGCACCTGAGAAGCCAAAAGCAGGATGGTTAGGTTAATTTAAAAGTAGTGGTACTGTGTTAGCTTCTACCAGCTGCTTTTACCTATACAAAGAGAAGAAAGGTTTTCCTTGCTGTAGTACTTGTGAAAATAGTCGAAAGTGAGCGTTACAGAAAACCTGTTCTTGCGTGTTAGAATGCGATACAAAATCCAGTCAGTAGTCAGAGCTTTATTTTCCTGTTGTACTTGCTGCACAGGAATGAATGTTAGAGACCAATGTTTGTTCTGGCATCAAGCAGTTGGGCTTATTTTCTTGTAATAACTGTATGTATTTGTACATGACAAGAGTCTAATTGGATTTTGGTGGATTTTGTAAGGTGGAAGGTAGTTTTTGAGCAACTCCAGGTAGTTGTAAAAGACCAAACCAAATTAAAAAAAAAATTAACAAATATTAAGATTATTGCCTAATAAGTCTCTTTAGAAGGTAAATATTTGGCCTTTCCTTTTGACTTTGTTTTGTTGAGAAATGAAAAAATAGGAGCAAAGTTTTAATACAGTAATTGTGCTGTCTGTAGCAGAGAATAACTGCTGTTATAAACTGAGAGCTATAGGGACAGTTTTCAGTGTCATACGGATTTAAATTTACTGTGCTACCATGAGATGGCTGTGATAGAAAACCATGCAAGTATTTGCTGCTCCACAATGGGACCAGAAGGAATGGTGCTAAAGGGAGCTTTTCTGCTCGCTGTATATTTCTGGGTCACTAATGAGTGTGGGCGTGAGCCTTTGCTGAGAAGGGAAACTGGAAGAATGTATTTAGCCCTCCTCCATCTTTCCTCTTTATATTTCCTTTCTGTACTGTAATACAGCTTATTTTATGCTTCAGCTGCAAGGAGGCGTTAGGAGGACCATGACAGCATTAGCATCATGGCCATTTCACTATGCTGTGCTCATAACGTGCCTCTGAGAGACAGCTACAGCCAAGAACAGCTATGCAGGTGCACTCCTGTTTGGCACGAGACAGAAAAATTGATGCTACAAAGCTTTGATTAAAAAAGGATATTTAGAAACAGTGAGACTGGATACTGCGTTCCATGCTACTGTGCAAACTTTTTGTGCCCTGTGGTGAAGAAGCCCCTCACCACTAGACCAGATAGCATTTTACTTCATTTACTGTAAGGCTCTCCTTTCTTTGGGACTACATACAACTACATGCATTGCATTTCGTGCAATGAAATGTGTAAAGACCTGATCTTTTCACCTGGTGTCACGGAATCGCACCAAAATGGCTACATGCACGCAAATAATGAACTCAAACAAGCTTTAATCTGCAACTGAAATGAAGCAGACAAAACTTCATTCACCAAAACAACATTCCACTGACATTCAACAAATACAGGTTCGATGTGCTGGTTGGGAATATTACCAGACACAGCTGAGTTAAGAATTCTTAAGTTTTAGGCCAAACGATCCAAAATGTGCACTCACTCACTCACCGAAAAGGGGGGGTTTTAATCTCAAGAAGTTACCTTAAGTGGCGTCCCAACTCAAGGGGAGAGTCTTCCACTGCAGACCCGCTGCTCCGAGGAGGACTAACTCAAATGAGTCCTCCGACAGGGCCCCATTTATACCCTGGTCGAATCTGATTTGTGGTCAATACGTGGTCGTGTCATCCCCCTGTTGGCTGAGGACCCCAACTTTCCTGCCTTTGACCCCCACTGTGCGGACCAGACAGGAGCTGTGAGGGGGGAGGCAGTCCTGGCGCCACCAGGGCCAGAAACTTTAGCACTGTCTTTGTTGGGTCTTTCTCAGGTCTTTAGTAGGGTGGGTGCATCTGCCACACCTGGTGAATGGACTTGACCATGATCTCAGCTTGGTGTCTTCAGAGGACCTTTTTATAAGGAAGTATTACGGTACACGTGGTGGCATAAAATGCATCATACCTGCAGATTGATCTGAAATTCTGCTGAGGATCCATACAGGTGGCTGCGCTCCCAGTCTGATTTATCCTCTTTGAAAATTCTGAGAATCTTTATAAAGGTTTATAAACATAAGACTGGGCTCACAGAAAGAGAATCCATGATTATCTGTTCTCACGACTGAGGTGGCTGGCTAAAGGTTAATTATAGCTCAGTCACAGAGATAAGATGGTAGATCTGGTAGCTAAAGGCTGAAACCTTTAGCTCTGTGCTTAGTCTTTGTTCCTAATCACACCAAAAGATGCACATTTTGCATTTGTCTCCTGCATGACTAAAGTGAAAGCTTGATCCTATTTCTGTGTAGGCAAGTGTACGAAGAAATAATCTAGGATTTACATAAGCAAGGTTTAAATTAATAAGATTTGAATGAATGTTAGCCCTATGGTCTTAAGTATTTTGAAATTTTTGACACCGTCTCATGCATTTGAATTTAATTCTCTTCCCAGTGTAAACAGCATTTTTTAAGATAGTTTTCAGAAAGACTTGGTAATGATCAAGCACTGTTTCTTAGGAAGAAAAGTTAAAATACCTTCTGACCTCAGAAGAAACAGTGTGATGTGTTGAACACTGCTGTAGAATATAATGGGAGATGTATGATTTTACATTTTATATAATATATATAATTTTTTATATAATTTTTTCCCATTCCACTGGACATCCTTGAGGGCTTGACAACTCACTCATTGCTGCTGTCCTGTACTGAGATTTTCACATCCCCTTCTTTAAAACCTCTTCAGTTTTCCCTCTATAAATAGTGTAGAAGGAAGCATTTTGGTCCTACTGTATCTTCTCTCACCAGTATAATGACAATCGGGCAACTTGATATGCCTTTTCATGGACAAGAACAGGGCTAAACAGCTCTTAGCCCTTGTTCCTTCAGGTATTGCACTGCTAGCAACCTAAACTCCAAACTCTGGCATCTCCAAAGCTGGGGAATGTCACTGCCACACTGCGCAGTAGCAGAGAGCATGTGTGTGACCCTCTTGTCTTCCCCACTCTGCAGTGCTGTGCAGTTGAGATGGCTGCCCAGGGATGTGCCGGGGGTAATACCCAGTTTGGGGACATAGAGGATGCTATAGTTCCCCTTCCTGTATTGACACCACATTAATCCGTGGCAGTGACAGATACCCAGGTGTCTTGGGTGATAGGTTATCAGACTTTACGATGAATTTTAGATGTTATTAACACACAGAATTTACCTGATGCATTTGCTTTCAAGAGCATCAAGAAGTTAGTGTGAGATTTTGGTGGAACTGTCTGTCAGCTATGCATTTTGGAACAGAAACAGCATTTGAGACCAGAATTTATACTTTACTAGATAACTAGATGAAACTAGATTTTTTTTTTATATCCTGTGCCTGTTAAATCCGGTGATTGCAACAGCTGCTTTACCAACTTGTGATTTCACTTCTGTTTTGACATTCC